CTGATAGTAACACCAAAAACAGAGTAGGTAAAAATCAAAATTTAAAAAATTTCATGCAAATTATTTTTTTTTTTTTTTTTCTGTACTCCGCACTCAAGACTGGTCTATTTATCATTATTAAACCATTTAAGAACTGTTGTTACACAGTGCCAACAGACTAAGTCTAACTCTTTGCGGCGCTTTTTTGCTTCATTCTATTCCACTTTTTTTTCCGCTTTACAAAACAGTGACAATAAGAAACAAAAAAGGAAAAAAAATTTTTTTTTTTCTTTCAAGGAAGATTTTGCCCGGTTTTGCACTGTTGATCTTTTGCTTGACAAAACGCCTGAAATGTTCAAAGAATGTTAAGCGAACAAAACTGCAAAAATTGTTGTTGAAAAGAAAAGATGGAAAAAAGGAGAAAATACAAATGAAAGATTTCGGTAACTGACAACTGATAAAACCCTGCAGAAAATTGTAACTGTTAGTGCTAAAAATAAGCAAAACAAACAAAAAAAAAAATTGAAGAAAACAAATTAATAAAATTGTTAAAACTATTAATAATAATTCTGAAAGCGGAAAAGACAACAACAGAAGCTTAGATGAAAAAAAAAAATAGCCAAAATGAATCAAAAGCATTTGTGCAGTTGTTGTTGGCCGTCCCTCTTTACCGACTACCACCACCATCACCAATCTGAGATGTTTGATCGGCAATCGCCTAATCGTTTCTGTTTTTAGAATGTGTAATCTGTTGTTGGATGTTTGTTTGTACTCTCAAATAATAAAGCCAAAAAAAAAAGCCAATCTTTTTCACGGCTGCTTAGTTGCTTTTTTGTTTTGTTTTGTTTTGTTCTATTTTAGCCTAAAATAAAAGTCAATTGTTCCCCATTCTATTTTTGCTTATCTAAATGAATAAATTACATCAATAGCTGTAGATATGTGTGTTCCACAAACTACTACTACTACTACTACTACTACTACTACTGCTGCTGCTGTTGCTGCTGCTGAATGTTTGAAGTTGATAATGCTAAAAAAAAAAAAAAAAAAGCAAAACCACTGCAAAATGAATATAAATGAATGATTAAACTGAAAATTGGTTTTGCCCTTGATAAGTACCAACCAACCAACTCAGAGGGATTGTGCGAAGAAAAAGAGAAAATGCAGACGATATAAAATGAATAAGGAACAGAGGAAATTGTTGAAGTGATGAAAAATATAGCACCTAATTTTTTAGACAAAAAATAATTCAAAAAATCTGAAAAAAAAAACATTCAGGAAAGATCAGATGAATACTATGGAGGTACAGACATAGTTAATTATGATGAATACAATATTAACCGGAAACTGGTTCACTTTATTTGTCTACCAACTGCTCAACAGTTTCTTTTTTGTCTATGATCTTAAGTTGGTACTGCTGTTGCCTTTAAGTTTACAAAAACGATTTCCATAATTCTCTAATATTTACGTCAGATTGATGCTCTTTTTCCTTGAATTTTTCTTCTTCTTTTTTTTTTTTAAATTCTTTTTATCAGCTTAAATTCTTCATTGACTAATACCAAAAAAAAAAAAACTAACTCATTCTATTCGTATTTCTGGTTAATGTAAAACAGCACATTTTGTTAGTTGCCGGCAAAAAAAAAAAAAAAATAAATCTTGATGGTGATAAGTGATGTTGATGACAGCAAATAATCAAAATCAGGTCTACTACATTGACTGTTGCTTGATATTTTAGTTCTAGTCCCTTTTGTTTTTTTTTGTTTTTTCTTCTGATAAAAACATAAACTGCTCCTATATCTTGTTGGCCTTAATCTTCTAAATATTTTCAACAATTTTAATCCACTTTTTCTTTCTTAAAAGTCCAGTTGATCACTTTTTTTCCCATTATTTGCTCTGTATCGGATGTGTTTTTTTTTTCTCTCTAAGATCATTTGCATTAAATTATTGAATACTGTAACAGTTATGTAGTTAAACAGAATAACTGATTCGCATTTGAACTCAGAACATTTTCTACTGCAGATAGATCTGTGGGTTTGGATGAGCTACCATTTTTAAATAAAACTTTTTAGTATTTGATAAAACTGAATAGAAGTGGTTCTACTTCTAATTTTTTAACTTCTTTTGTTTTTTTTTTCCTCTAATATTTGAAGTTTTTCTCTTAGCAAAAAAAAAAGTTTACTACTGTACAAAAAAATAGTTAAAACGACAAAACCGAATCGTTTTAAACGAATTCATCAATGCAAAAAGGCAACAAGCGTAAAAATTGAAAATAAATGATCATGAAAAAAAAAATTAAATTTTTTTCAAAAAAAATCTTTCCCTTTCTTTTTCTTCCTTTTTATTTTGTACGATACCTTTTTTTCTGATAGTTTTTCTAGAGAAAAAAAAGAAAAAGCTCTATTGCTGCTGGTTAAATTGTAGTGTTCTTTATTTTCAGATGTAGAAACATAAATTATTACTATTATTACGATAGAATCAACAACTTTCTTCTTTCTCAGAAACCTTAGTGAAATACCGTTGTTGGGTGTTCACTTTTCAAACCTTCTACTTTCTGTTCTATAATATCTGTTGTATACATGAGTGATTGTCAAAAAGAAAAATACAACATGTTCAAATATAAAAAAGTTCTTTTTTTCCCCTTCATCTGTTAAATATGATCTACCAGAAGAATAAATAATAGATTTACAAATAAAATTTTTTCTTTTATTAGTAATTATATGTATCAAATACATCGCTGCAGAGAAAACCAAAAAAAAACGTTGATTTTTGTGTTCGGCTTTCTACTTTAGACGACAAAAAAAAAAAAAATCTGAAAGAAAACTTAACAATGTGTTCTTTGAAGAAAAAAATAAAAAATATAACATGAAAGACCTTGAGAAGAAGACGGGAAGATATAACAACAGTTGGAATTACCAGGCTTGACAAAATAAGCAAATCAAAATCACACTTCTGTAAAGTTGTTGCTGACGATGCCTAGCAACCATTTTTTTCCATTTCAAACCTTCAAAAAAACGAAGGGATCTTCGTAAACTGTGAACTTTTGAAAAGAACTAATTGCTGTAAGTTTAAATAATAACTTAAAAATCATGAAACCTTATCGTTTTCTTACCGTTTTAACAGAAGGAGTTTTATGTGCAGATAATTGTACTTGGTGTTAACTAGATTAGTCGCAGGAGTCACCATTAGAATAGACCTAAGGAAATCTGACAGAAAAAGTTTGATAAAAACTTAGAATTTAAATTCTTACACATGATAAACTCCCTTAGTAATTTCCCATCATGGAATACTTGCTTCATCACCTAAAAAAAGCTACAGATGCCTGGGAAAATACAAGTTTTTGAGAGACAAATACGACGAATTAGGCTAATGACTCAAACTTCTATATTTCAGCACCCTCCTAGTTTTCCAGTCACAATTCATGAAAGATTCAGGTCTGAACTGTCGCGAGAAAGTCTATAGCCGACCGTGTCAGCAAATCTCCAGTTCTGTCGCCATTCATTTGTGGCTGCGAGCAACTCTTCCAACTGTCATTAAAATCACTCTTAGTCGTTCTTTGTGCTAACCACTGATCAGTAACTATGAACGGGGAACCACGTATGTTTGCTCCGATCCGCATCTCAGAATGATAGTGACTTCCACAAACCCCGTCCCTTGTTCACACAATTTCCAGCTCCAGTTATTTTCATTATTTCTTGTATTTGAAATGTATAGGAACGTTTCTTCATTTGAAGAATCCGGTTGGTTACATACCGTACTGTTTCAGCTTAAAAGAATTAGAACCACTGATTTTAGAAAAGAACTTTATAACCGCTTTGGGTAATCGCTAGTAATCATAGCAGTTTAATTTCGAATCAACTGTTCAAAAAAATGTATCAATCTTTACAGAAATCAACAGTGAAAAAGCCCATTACCTGAAGAAAGAAAGCTGACAGCAGTTACAAATCTTAAGATAATTACATAATTTTCACATGAAACTCAACTTTCCTGGACAAATTTCTTTATTCCAGCTCCAGTTATTTTCATTAATTCTTGTATTTGAAAATATAGTTGTAATATTGAAAAAAAATTTGCTTCAAGATTAGAAAAAACATCTTTTTGTAAATTCTAAACCTGAAATATTCGAAAAGAATCGTTGTCATGTCACAGGGATCTATTCCGCAAAAAAAGTGCCACTCTAAAATGACACTTGTGTTAAAGGTTAGAAGCAGCTAGAAGATTCACTTATATATATGCAACTGTTCAGCAGTCAAGTAAGATACAGTTTTTTTACTATCAACGGAAATGAAGCATTAATGCTAATGATAAAATATGGAGAGAAAACCATAAATTTGAATTACCGCGTATGGCGCACTGCCAAGATAAAAGCAAAATTTAATCGTATTATTGCGCTGTTATAAAAGAACATTTATAAATTGGAAATATGCCTCGACAAGTACCGTAGTAACGGGCAAGAGTTAAAACCCGTATAACATTCAATTTGGGCCGTTAACTTTGAAGAAGTTTGTTGGAGATTTTTGTTGCTTTAGAACTTCAGGTATTTCCGGTTCTCGCTTTCCTACATCTGGAAGGTGATGTAGCTTTTTCAAATGAGTTGTAATGGGCATGTTTCGGAATTCGTAAGAACATTAACAGAAAATTTTAGAGTAGTAGTTCTTATTGATTACGTTGCTCACGACTTTCAAGTTTCGGCATTTTTTAGCATGACTTGGATTTGGGAAATAAATGAAAATTTATGCATTTTTTACTGTAGGAAACAATTTTTTCTTGCGACTGGCATAGTTGATTGTTTTTCTTTGTTGATTTAAACATGTGCGCTGTTTTGCTGAATGCTCTTAGTATTAGCTAAACTGATAGTGGTACGTTCACGAAATAATTTAGCTTTTTGCTGTTTAACTTTACTACGTTATTTACAACTGATTATTGGGGTTTTTGATACAGCGGGTTTTTTTGTGGTTGTTGGTTTTACTTTACTTTTTTCAATTTTACCTTTTGACTAATTTAGATCTGGGTTATTTTGTAGCAGGATGGTAGAACAGATGCAAATGCAATTAAAGGGGGTCCTTAAGGGCCATAATGGTTGGGTGACTCAAATCGCGACAAATGCCCGTCACCCAAACATGATAATTTCTTCATCACGAGGTATATTTGACAGTTGATTTTATTTGGCTTTCGTTTTGTAGTTTTTGGTGTTTTTTGATTTTGGAGTCTTAAGTTCTTTTGAAACGTTTAAATTTAATAATCATTGGAGGGGTTCTCGTTTTTCTTATCGTTCAGTCAAAGAAGGTAATATTTGGATGGGGATTTAAGAAGCCCTTATTGTAAACTAGTTAAAAAAAGTGTACTTAGTGATATTCAGCTAGTAGTTTTTTTAAATTTAGTAAAGGTTTTTGTAGCTTTTAGAAAATGACTTTCTTTTTTCTTTGAGTTAGCCTGATGATAGGCTTTTAAGTAATTATTTTTCTTTGAAATGTACCGATAGTATTCCTCCACCAAAAAGTTTATTTTCTAGTACTTAGTAATGACAAGTGCTGTTACAGTTTTCAGCAGGACCCTTCTGTATCATACAGATCACAGCATTAATTAGATATGCCAGTTGGGAGGTACTACGGGGCACCAATTATTACGACTTTTGTTAGAGTGGTTTAACTTTTGTTTTCAGATAAAACTATCATCGTGTGGAAGTTGGATGGAGAGGATTCATCCTTAATCAGCGGCACGCAGTCATGGGGCAAGCCAGAAAGAGCATTGAAGGGACATGGCCACTTTGTTTCAGACGTTGTGATGTCATCAGACGGGCAGTTTGCTCTTTCTGGTTCATGGGACAAAACTTTGAGGCTTTGGGATCTGAACACGTATGCCAGCTTTCATCTGAGAGACTGTAGATGTTCAATGTAGATTGAGGTTTTTTTTATTAATGATGTATAACTTTTATTTTAGCGGTGAAACATCCAGGCAGTTTGTTTCTCATACTAAGGATGTTCTGTCCGTCGCTTTTTCTGCAGATAATCGACAGATCGTGTCAGGCTCCAGGGATAAGACAATCAAACTGTGGAATACGCTTGCACAATGTAAATATACTATCGGGGTAAGTTTCTTTATCTTTGGCAGTGGCATGTGTGAATACTTCTTTTTGATTTATTTGCAGTTTTATCTTACTTTTTCATTTCAAAGCTAAATTTTCTCAGTATATAATTTTAGCTTTAGTATCCTTTTTTGATGAATTTCTTTAAGTAACCAATCAATTTTTTTTT